ACCTTTGCGTGTCACGGTTTCATCACTGTCTTTGTCATTCGTAGGGAGGGTCACAATTTACTAACCAAGAAGACGGGCTAGAATCTTCGAGTCCTCCTCTCGCCAATTGCTTTCTGAGGGACGGAGTGGGAATAAGGTCTGTGTCATTTATTCAGTCATTCGACAAACATTCGGTGAGCTCCGGACCAGCGCCAGGTAGGGCCAGGAGCCCGGACGGCCTGGTCCATGCCCGGCTGGGCTTGCGCACGCGATGGTCGGCAGGCCGGCGAGTTAGGCCGCTGGGCACTAGAACGAACCCTACGCCGCTTGCGCAATTAGTTCACGTGATAAGAGCTACAGAGGAGATGTCACCGGACAGGTGTGTGCGGAGGGAGAGAATGACATCCGAGGTGAGTTCTGAAAGATGAATTAGTCATTGACCAGGCGACATGGGGGTGACCAGTGGCGCATACCGAGGGAGGAGCCTGCGCGAGGCCTCGGAGGCACGGAGGCCGTAGAACAACAGGCCGAGTCCATCGTAATTGCCACCTGGTCTCCCAGCCTCGGCGCTGCCCTCTTCAGTCTGATGTCTACGCAGCAGCCAGAGGGGTCTTTTAATAAATCTGATCATATCAGTTCCCCGCACTAAACTCTCCAGCGAATTTCCATCTTAGAACAAAGTTCAGACTCGTTGGCTACCGAGGCCCTGCAGAATCTGGCCCCCAACCTTCTCTAAAGTCGCGTCTTCCAATTACCCCCCTCAGTGTCTCTACCGAGCACCCCCTACCCCTTTACTTTGCTTCACAGTTCTCATGGCCACAGGAAATGATATTTCTTATTTTTTGTCTACCAGCCACTAAGACATAAGCTCCATGCAGCCAGGGACTTTATCATCTTATTTATTGCTGTATCCTTAGGACCTGGAATGGTGCCTGCCACACAGTAGAAGCCCAGTTATCATTTGTCGTGGGGCTCGTAGCAAGGGTGCCTAACCCAGTCAGAGGTGTCGGGAACATGGCACGGACGGCAGCGATGTTAAGGCTGAGGCCTTCATGATGGAAAGAGTAACTGTTTATTTTTTCAAGAGGGGAGAAGAAAGTACTCGCGCCAGAGAGGAGAGGCAAGGTGGCCCGCAGCCTGCTGGGGGAAGTGGGGTTGGAGCATATGGTGACACACGAGGGTGGGACAAGGATGTGGGAGGCCCTCTTAAAGGCTGTGTGGAGCCACCGAAGGCTTTGACGAGGGAGACTGGTGGCTTCAGAATTTCTGTTTAGACCATCCAGGTCTCCTTGGAGAACGGATTGGAGGAGGAAGGTGGAGGTCAGGAGTCTGAGAGAGAGATGCTTTTGCGATTTAGGAGATGAATAATGGGGCGAAGGGCACAGGGGAGGACAGAAGGGAGAGTGAGCCCCGAGCTCTGGGAGGAAGGGCTTCCATGCCCGGGGAAAGAGAACAGAGGACGGAGAGCAGGTTTGGCCGGGGGACCCGACGTCTCTCTGGCCCCGCTGAGGTGTCTGTGTGACACCCAGAGGGAAGGTCACACCACATGGCATCGGTCCCAGGAGGTGGAGCTGCGGGAACCAGAAGCAGCTAGGAGGCAATCGGAGCCAGGGGGTGTCTCTTTGGAGACAGTGTGATGTACGAGAAGAGAGGGCCCGGGACCCTGAGGGCACCTGCGGGCAGAGGGAGGAGGGGAGCCTGCGAAGGAGAGGGAGCCACAGGGCGTCACGGGGAGAGCGCCTCAGGAGGGAGCGGCCACGTGTCAGCCGAGGCGATGGGCAAGTCAAGTAAGGGCTGAACATCGTCCGTCCATGGACTGAGCCACCGAGGGCTCAGTGGCCTTGGCAAGAGCAGTGTGGGAGCAGGGCGGGGAAGTTGGAGAGAAGGTTCCTCAAGTGTAGCCGCCCGTCCCAGAAGTCTGGCGTGAATGATGACATGACGCACGTCATCGCGTTAAATCCGCTTATCAATCAGCGGCTTTGGAGACGAGCAAACAGAAGCTGGAGGCATCAGGTAACTTCCCGGTGCCTCTGACGGAGTGAACAGCCATGTGAGGGCTTAAGCCCTGTGGAGTCGCTTTGGTGTCCATGCCGAGACACCCTTCCATGTCGCCCCTCCTCGAGGGGATGCGAGAACCGGTGGCGGCCACAGGAAGCAAGGCGAGAGGTGGGAGCCTGAGACACGTGACTCCTCGGTCTGTCCCTGGAAGGAAGAATAAAGGCCGAGTGACAATGACAGTCATACTTCCTGCCACCTGCTCCTACTCCTCGGTCTGTCCCTGGAGGGAAGAATAAAGGCCGAGTGACAATGACAGTCATACTTCCTGCCACCTGCATGACAGTATTCTCATCCGCGAGCCTCTTACAGCCCTGCGTGGGAAACTCAGAACAGTGGCCCACGGGTGCCCGGTCCTGGAATCCATACTTCTGGTGGCCTCGACCAAGTCGCCTCCATCAGGGCTCACTTTAACTCACGTTCAGAGCCAGCCTCATGCTTCCTGAAGTTCACCACTGCTTTGGCTCAGACATCGGCAAGAACAGTCCCCGACACACTGACGAGCAGGGACCCGAATGGCAGGCTAGCTGGCCATGTCCTGTTCATTCAGCACACGTTAGACCCCGATGCTGCGCTTGCCTCCGAGTGAAGAGTTTTGAGGTTGCAAAGAAATAGGAACCATGAAATTTGCTCTGCAGGTGTTCATAACCTTAAGGGAGACTGAAAATACAGTCCCGGAGTCCCTGGGAGGCTGCGTGACGGGCCGGCCCAGGGCTGGTTGGGCTTCCGCGTCGCGCAGATCTGAATTTCGGGCTCGACTCTGCCACTTATTTAACTTCTCCGCGTCTCAGTCTTGTCATCTGTAACACGGACTTGCCAGGCCGATGCATGTAGTGGCCACTTGTGAAAGACTGGCTGTCCTCTCGAGAAAGAATATAGGCTGGCACGTGAGGTCAGGTACGTTCCGTTTGCACGGGGCTTCACGTGACTGCTGTGGCTGTTGTTTAAGAGTGGTGAGAGCTGGTTCATCAAACACTGCTGGTGATCATCTGCGTATACACGTATCTGGTCATCCCCTTGTACACCTTAAACTTATACAATGTTATATGTCGATTATATCTCTTCAAATAAATCTGGAAAAGAAAAGAGTTGGTTAACCAGGTGAATTCAAGGGCAGAGCACACCCTCGTAAAAGGCAGAGGGGTTCTCGCTGGACAGCGAAGTCGTTTTTGGTGTCGGGAACTGGGCGTGGTGTGTCTTCAGATCGGAAACTTGAGCGCCAAGGACAGGTTCTGGGCTGATTGACGAGGTTTGCTCATCCGTGCATCTAGTTAGTATTTTTTGAGCACTTACTGTGCTGTTCATGGACTGAGAAAGTGTCTCTCTTTGGTTTGGCCAGAGGCGACGGTGGGCCTGGCAGGGGGCGTCCTCCTTGGGGAGTTGCTCCAAGGCCTCTTTAGCAAGCAGCCTGGGACACGGCACTTGCCAGTCTCCAGGGCTGGACTTCGCTATCAGAGCTGAGCCCGCAGCCGGGCCCGGGGCTGGCAGAACCGGGGCGGGGTTATTCCCGTCCTCCCTTGGTGTGTTCAGCTGAGTCTTTTTTAAAAGTGCTGTGCAAAGGGGACCGAGGAACGCCTTTGTGGCCACCTACCTGGTACGCCCCTAGTGGCGGGGCAGCGAGACCCAGGTGTTTGAGGCGACTCCCCAGGGCAGCGGTTCTTGTCGCCCCCTAGGGGACGTTTTGGAAAGTGTGTCTTTAGTGGAGACCAGATTGGGAGGCTGGAGGATTTCATGGATGGAGGACGGAAAGGTAGACGTTTCCGTAACACGCAGGACAGCCCTGCACGAGGAAGAAACGTCTCGCATTCTTCTTGACTTCGGAAATTTCCCCTCAACAACATATGCAAATATAAAATCGAATACAAACCAACAGGACTTTATTATATGATAATGCAGAAAAGATTCACAAGAACTTTTTTTGGGGGAAAAAACCTAATAACTTAGAAGATCATTGTAGAGAAGGACGCTTAAATAAAATACATTGTCTTGAGGTCATTACATCAATCTACTCGGTGTAGAGTATTTCCAGCTTCGTAATATCTTTAGCTGTGACGTTTCAATGCGGTATTTGCAGATTTTCTCCTCGTTCCGTGGGTTGTCTTTTAAATTTCTTGATCTCATCCTCTGAAGCACAAACACTTTTCCTTTCGATTAAGTTGAGTCTTTCTCTTTTTCTGTCACTCGTGCTTTGGGATCATATGTAAGAGACCGTTGCCTAGCGAGATTCTGGACCGTAGCTATGATACGATGAGGCTTGGGGAACCCTGGGAGAAGGCACGAGTATTCACACGTGGGAGGGACATGACTTACTGAGGGCCAGAGGGCGAACCGTGGTAGATTGCTTCCTGCCGGCCCCAGGCGATCCTCACCCCCCTCCCGGTGTTCACACCTTGTTTGGTGCCCTCGCTGCACCGCGTAGCGAAGAGCTGCACGGCCAATGGGATATTGTAGAAATGGTGGTGTGTGACTCCCACGGCGAGGACGTCGTGGCTTCTGCCTGGCTGTCTCTTAGATCACTCACTCTGGAGGATCCAGCCGCCATGTCGTGAGGATGCTCAAACGGCCCTGTGGATAAGGTCACACGGCGAGGAACTGAGGCCTCTGCCAACGGGCAGCTCCTCCTCACCAGCTGCGTTCAGAACCTCGGCCCAGTCGAGCCTACGGACGGCTGCAGCCCTGGCCGGCGTCTTGGCCACAGTCTCGCAAGAAACTTCAAATCCGAGCTGTCCAGCTAAGCCACTCCTGAATTCTCGACCCACGGAAACTAAGTGAGATGATAAATGCTGATCGTTGTTTAAAAAAAAAAGAAAGAAAAACGAAACCAGGGCCTAATCCAAGGTCACAAGGGTTTCCTCCTGTCCTTTCTTCTGGGAGTTTTATAGTTTTCACTCCTACATTTGGGTCTAGGACCTATTCTGCTTTAATTTGTGATTAGAGAGTGAGATGAGGGTCTAAGTTTTTCTTCACGCATATGGGTATCCACTTGTCCCAGAAACTGTTTGTTAAAAAGACTATCCTTTTCCTTATCGAATGCCG